TACTCTCCAGAAACCTCCCATTACCCTTTTCATAAGAATTTGTATCTTGGTCAAGAATAAAGCATCATCTCCCAGCTACTCCTTCACTAAAATAAATTCTCCAGAGAAAAATATTCAAATTAGAAGTTCATTTTTGCACCAAGCCCTCTCTGATATAAAAAAAAAATTGCCCACTCTTAAAAAGACATAATAAACAAAGTTTTGCTGCCCTGCTCCCAGACTTCCCACATTTTACAAGACCTGACCAGAAATTGAGGTGATTTTATTGTCCTCCAGAAGTCCTCACCCACAAACACAGCTGTCTACTCATGCTTTAAGCCACTTTACTAAGGGAGTAGAGATTTTCTTCCCACAATAGAAAAAAATAGGCTGAAAACAAGCTATTCCCTTGGAGAGAGAACACCCTGGTATAGTGATTAGGGCAGATCATATCATTCCATGAGGACATATTTTAGTAAGCTAGGAATGGGTCCAGAAGAGTGAAGACTACACCTGCCATTCCTAAGGTCACACAGAGTCAGTCACAGAGCATCAAGAGCAGATCAGAGTTTTTGTCACTATCATTTAACCTCAGGAAAATCCCTTCTCAGTGGCCAATTGTTCTCTAATTCTGTGATTCTATAATTCCACTTTAAAAATTTTCTCAGCTCTAGTTCCACTTGCATTCCTATTAGTGATGAGTATAGCAGAGGCCTTACCTAATACATAAAATATGTTTCTGTTTACACTCCTTTTATTAAGATTAATCACTACTTAATTTAAGACCTTATGCCTTGATTACAGGGATTCTGTTCTGATATGAGCTTAAATGTACCTTTGAAAAATAAAACATATTTTCAATTACAGTCATTCATGGTCCCAATTCAGGCAAAACTTTTATTTAAATAAATGATTAGCTTTGGCAAGAACATCATAATTTATGAATGTGCAAAATTTGAATGTGGTAATTGTTGTTCTCCGTGTTGGCCTTTACAAATGACATGTTGCATGGTATTGGGCTAGGAGTTATTCAAAGCAAATGAAATTGATGTAGTCCAGGCTCCCCCTCCCTGGAAACTTATTTACTAGGGCAGAAGCTTACTCAGCTGATTTCAGCAAATATACCACACTTCCTTCTGCATTTTCCTTTTGCTGAATTTCTGATCAGGATCCTACAACTTGCATTAGTGTTGTTTGACTTCCTGGGGCAGAGATAATGCTGAGTGTTAAAAACCTACAATCACACCAAGACATTTTTTCCACACTTCACAGTATTTTAAGAATTACCTTTTCTTACATTCCATTCCATTTCCTTTGCCTTTGCCATTGTTGGGTATTTCTTTAACACACAAATAGTCAGGAGCTGTTTCCTCAAAAACAAAAATCTGCCTTCAAATTGCTCAATTTATTACAACCTCCATAATGTTGTGGTCATTTAGATGCTTGGACACATTGTTAAGGCACAAGTGCCCATATAGAAGTTACAAGAAATTCAATGTAAGGCTTTGGTAATTAACAAGACAAAGAGCAATCTCTCTAAGGCAGAACCTGAAAGAATAAGTCACTGGGGACAAATAGGAAATAGAAGAGAGACAAAGCCAGGTTGGATTCAATCCAGAAATCGGTTATCTGTAAAAACCAGTAACTCTTTCCCTTTGGGGAAATAAAGATCATTAATTTCTTGGTATATTAAAGGCTGGAACTATTCCTTTATAGATCTTTACTACAATCAACATTCCGCTCACAGTACATGCTGGATAAGAGTTAGAGGGTGATCTGGAGGTTACAATAATGATAACACTGAATTCTACCATTTGTCAAAATATAAATTTGTGAGGGCTCCTTTCTATGCCGTTCCCTCACAAATATTCCATATTTTCTAAGATTTTGTTTTTAATACCAGGTCTGGACATGCCACATGGAAAGAATTAAGTCTTTTAAATGTGATACTACCTTAAATGTCAGTAGTTCTAAAGGTTGGGTGATTTTTCCACCATTTGGCCATGTGTGCAAACATTTTTGATTATCACAACTGTGAGGGACAGCGGGGGCGGGGATTGCAGCTGGTGGATGGAGGATGGGATTGTTGCTAAACATTGTACAATGCACAACACAGCACTCATGGCAAGGAATCATCTGGCCTACAATGTCAATAGTATCAAGGTTGAGAAATCCTGTTTAAGGAGAATGGAAACCCACTATCTGGGTTCCTCATATCAGTCTCTTGACATCTATGGTTCTACACTAAATTCTGATCTACATTACTATTTACCATTATGGTCAAGGCTGGAAAAGAGAAAAAGTGTACCTGAATAACTAAGTTTTAATTCCATTTTGACAGTTAAAACTAGCCTTAGTGTTTGAATAAACCAGGCCATGTGAATAACCTAGCCTAGAAGATAGGTAGATCTAGGCTTAAATTATTAAGATTGCTGCTTCCATTTTCGGCTTTGATCCACTTTTACAGACATGGTCTCTGGTTGCAATTTACTCTTTTTTAATTTTTTTTTTAGTTGTTGATGGACATTTATTTATATGCAGTACTGAGAATTGAACCCAGTGCCTCACACAGGCTAAGCAAGCACTCTCCCACTGAGCCCCAGCCCCTACAATTTTCTTGAAGGGGGAGATACACATACATACACTCTCAGCCACCAAGTAGAAAACCAGAATATTTCCACATCTAGACAAAGATGAGCCACCCAGTCTCAAGGCTAACAAGCAACCCAGGCAAAGCAATAGGAAATCATTTTGTAGGCTTGTTCTGAAATTTGTATAGTAATGTCTGTTATTTGTATGGTGTTTTTAACTTTTGAAAAGATTTTCCTTTATATATCCTTGAACTAAACATATTAGAGTACAGAAAGCATGTTTGAGACATTTTAGTCTTATCCACGATCCACAGAGAAAGCACCAAAATTTGGAAGTGCACATAATTCCCATAAGTTAAAGATAATTGCACTTACATAGAGCCTTGGAAGGAAACAATTCACAAGAATAGGGCTTTCTTTCTCCCTGAGTACTGATTGCTCCGAGTTATATCCTGGGCTTGGAGTGGAAGCCCCATCTGAACTACAAATTGGTCAGAGATAGGGAAATGCCCCCAAAGTCTCTACAGCCAAAATAACCTATTCACCCCTCATGTCAGATGAAGAATAGGTTTAACTACAACATAGATCTCTCTTGTTTGTACATTAGAGTTTGGTGGGTGGTCACAATAAAACCGCCTTTGAATGGGAGAAAGGCAGAAAGTTTTCAGAATGAAGTGATGTTTTTTCAGCTATTCCTTTGCCCAGTCTTACAAACACTTTCTGAAGTATTTAAACAGTGTGGAGAGGAGAGGGAAGCTCCACCCTCAACCTGCCCCCCACCCCTTTCCCGGGATCCCAACACACAAACTCACAATCCCCCAAGGTCGTACTTTTTTTTTTTTCTAGTGTCCTGCTCCCTTACAAAAGCTTAGTATTCTCCAGAATATTAGACCACCCTGGGGCTAGAGGATCTAAGGAAAACTGTCTTACTTGTTACCTCCAGGGACTTTGTCAGGCTAGCCTGGCAAAGAGAGTTGTTAGGACCCCCACTGAACATAACTAATGCCAGTTTCAGAGGAACAGCAATGGAAATATTTGGCCATTTAGGCAGGGAAGAGGATCCTGGCTTTTTCTGAAGCTGTACTCGGGTTGAAAGTGTGTGCTCAAGGCGTTAAGGCGACAACGGGAAGTACAGCTGAGCTTTCCTAGAGCTCAGGATTGTTCTGAGAACGGATGGGCTAGGAGGGGGGGAGAAGAGGTTTTAGGTACCAGCCATGCATCCAGAAAAACAGAGCCTCGCATTTCTGTTTTTCAGAGAGAGGTAGTAAGGGAGAAAAAGACAAAGCCGAGATTTGGGGTGTGTGCTGGGCCATGAGATGCTGCCAGCTAGCGGACCTAAGCGCCTGCAGGTTGCAGGTAGAAGTCTCGAGCTTGTTTTGAGGGTGGGAACATTCAACGCGTTCCAGGAGGGTTCAAGAGGGTCGGCTTTCTGGGAGCCAGAGTAGAAGGTGAGAGTGCAGGTGGAGATGTGCCTCTCATAACAAGAAGGAGTAAAGACCAAAGAGTCACGCAAGTGTCTAGTGACACCATCCTTCCCCCTCCCCCGTCCCCGACACCACTGCCAACACTAAGTAACTTAGCCCCTCATCCTACAATACCACTATCCCTTAGAGCGTCAATATAGGCTGGGTATTGGGAGACGACTGTTTGGTGAGAGGGTCACCTATGTAAGAATTAGGTTTCTCTGTGGGGCTGCATGCCCTAGGTTAAACTCACCCAGGAAGGGTCAGAAGCCAATCACCGACGACCCCAGGTCAGCCCCTGACAACTCAGAGCCCCACTGTTCCACTGTCCCACCAGCTGCCCGACCTTACTCTAACCATTCAACTCCCTTCCCCCAGGATGCCCTGTGGCTGCCTATGCAGCCCGGCTACGACCAGCCCAGAGCCAGGGTAGAGTTAAGTGGGCAAGAGGTCACTGCCCAAAGCAGGAGGCACTCGATCCAAGGTGTAAGGTGAGATTCTGCAAGCCAGGAGTCTTTAGGCGCTCCTGTCCCCTCTACTCTCACCGGCGATCAGCCTCCCCTCTCTCCCCTCCCGTCTCTGCCACCACCCAGAGGAGGAGGAAGTCTGGGGAAGCAAACGAACGAAACAGAAAATTCCGTACCGAGAGGGGAGAAATGAGACGGTGGGACGGGGCAGCGGGGGCTGACTTGGGGCTGCGGCTGCAGCTTCCTTCCACCCCTGGCCGCGGAGCTGCAAAGAAGGCAGGAGCTGCTGCCCCTGCAGGCTGCCCCGTCCTCCCTCATTCCCTCCCCCCCTCCTCGCCTCCCCCGCCCCGCCCCGCCCGCCCCAGCTGTGAGCCGGGAGAGCCAGCCAGGCTTTGGCCAGGGGCTGGGGGAGGTGAGAGGTGCTTTTGCCAACCAGGGCTTATACCCCCCCCCCTCTCTCTCTCTCTCTCTCACACACACACACACACACACACACACACACATCGCAACCGCGACGGGTTCTCCGCAGCTCGCAACCACCCTAAAGGGAGGGAGAAAGAAAACAGCAGCAGAGGGAAGGGAAGCCAGGGGCAGAGAGAAGAGGGGGGAAGAGCTCAGGGTTGAACATTTTTGGAGCTAGGGGTGGGGAGGAGAAAGAGAGCGCGCCTCCTTGATTTTCCCCTCCCCACCCCTCTTTGCTTTTCTCTCCCGTTCGCTGTATAGCATTTTCCAGAAGCAGCAGCAGAATGGGACTGAAGCCTCTGGTCTAGAAAACGGATTTGGAGGGGTGGCAGGGGCTCCCACCAGCCGCTACCTTACAGCTAGTGCTTGAGTGTGCGTGTCAGCGTGTGAATGCGGTCCTCTCGCTCCCTCTCTTTCTCTCTCCCCGGCGCCCGCTTCACACCACCGTGTCAGCTCTCCCTGTCAGTTTCCCCGTGTCAGTTTATTCTCTTGCTTATTGTGTTTGGCTGGCTGCGTGAAGGGACTGCGAGCATTTGGGGGGCTCACGCTGGGTCCGAGAGCCCCAGGAGAAGCGAGCGAGAACACGGCAGGGGCACGGGTGGAGCAAAGAGTTTCGGGGCGCTGGTGAAGGCAAAAGGTGAGAAGGTCTGGCCAGTTGGGAACTTTGAGATAACTGAAGAGGGGAAAAGGAAACGAAGGTAGGAAGCAGTACTTGTGCTCCTCTCTGCGTCCCGCCCCTTTTTTTCCCTATTCTCACCCGCCCACCCACTCGGCAGCCTCCAGGCCCCCGGCTGTCCCAGGCGGCTGCTGTTTTTGCGCCACGGAAGACCAGTCCAGGAAGGCTGCCGCGGCACCTCGCGCCCTAGTCCACCGATCCCAGACTACACAGATCCGAGGAAACCACTTGGCCCGGGGTAAGTTGACAGGCGGCTTGGAGTCGTCCGCTTTGCTACCCTTGGGGCGGTGAGGAGCGGGTTTAATGAAGGTGCTGGGTTGATGTAAACTGGGAGGCGCTGGCTGGCTGACTGGCTGTGAGCTCCAGGTGGTGGGGAGCAGGGAGAGGCCAGCAACAGATTGTTTTGGGACATGGGCAAAAGAAATACAACCAGGGAGAGGGCGTTAAGGGTTCTAGGACCAAATGTTGATGGCAATGATTAAAAGCATCCTTCTCACTGCTACTGTTCTCCTAAACCAGAGCTTTGCCATACCACTGCATGGATAGTGATTTGTTCCATCCTTGGGTAGATATTAAGCTCCCCCGAACCTGCTCCCAGGTTTCCTCAAAATGGGCAAGGGATGGGTTAGGAAAAAGGATACTTGTTCTTCAACAATATCAATCTTCAGCTGTAAAGAGCCAGGGTTCATGAGGGCTCAGGGACCAGAGCCCCTCATTTAGCTTCTTTCTGTTTTTGCATCTTTCAAACTTAAGAAAGGGCCAGATTCGTTTGCCTGGCTTCCTTAAAGAAACCAGGAAATGCAAATAGGCAGGGGCAATCACTGTAGTCCAAAGTGGACAGCTCCCAAACCTCCCCCACATGCTTTGACTTGGACAAATAGCTATGATCATGTCCCACATAGGCAAGTCCTGAGCTGAATTCCCAGATCCTGATCTTTCTTCATGGTTTCTGAAAATGAGCCTGGGAGAAGGTGTTTTTTTGTTTGTTTTTTTTTTTTTCCCGTTACCAACCTGGCCTATTTGGGCCATAGTTATGCGTGGTGATAGCCAAGTGTTTAGCAAGGTTATCACTCCCTTATGAAAAGCCTGGCGCTGGGAAACCAGCCCAGAAGACAGATTCTCTGAACTTTACCCGAGTTTATTATATAAGTGGGAGAGACACATACTAATCAATAATTCTCCCCTTAGAGACTGTGCATGTTAGCCATGGCTTCAAATGAGGAATAATTGCTACATTCATAATGGCATCCAGACACATTGGCCTATTGTCATATATTTATTTTCATGGCATTTACTAAGAATGACATGTTTATATATCAGCATTCATAATTTTCTATTGTTGATCTCTTAGATTTTTTGATGATGTACAGATGAACTATGTCGTGTCTCATTTCTCATAAACTCTTAAAAAGCTGAGATTTAAATGATGTCGAATAGTGCCTTTCATTCAGTCTTTAAAATATGTTTATTCTGAATTGAAAGGCATGGTAATACAATCATATAGTACCAAGTTGATTTTAAAGCAAATGTTTAGTCTGAGATAAAGGAAACGCAGGATCCATTTGTGAGGTTGAAAGAAGAACCAAATGCCACTTGAAATCTATATTTTGGTTCCAGGGAGGTGCTATTTTCATAAACTTTTAGACTATGTAACTATATGCACAGTTGATCTGTGTGTGTGTGTGTGAGTGTGTGTGTGTGTGTGTGTGTGTGTGTGTGTAGTTTTTCAAGGACTCCAATCAATCCTGTACAATTCAGGTTCTGTGTTTCTATAGCTGAGGGGGGGGGGGGTCAAATTTGTGCTTCCAAAGCATCCTGGATTTTCTGTTGAACTTTCCATTTATTACTATGTTATTGAAATACAATGAATTACCTCCTTCCAACTAAGCAAATGAGAGAAACAGACTCTGCATTAAGTGAGACTGTTTACGTTGCATTGGGCAATTTGTTCTAATGCTCACTGCGGAGAGACAGAGCGGAATGGGGATTACTAACATAGGATCTGAAAAGGTGTCCATTCTGTTACTCTTTGGGGGTCAATCATGAGCATATATCTACTTAGGTTAAAATTACACTTTCCCATAGATAGCAAAGACAAGATTGCAGACAGCTAGGAAAGAAGCAACAGCTTCATGATTGGGGAAGAACTCAAAGTATCAACAGGAATGAAGCTTAAGGTGTAGTGGTTTTTTGCTGTGTTCCAGCTGATGTGTGTAGTTGCTGAAATGGGCTGTGACCTATGGTTATTCCTAAGACAAGGAGGGGGGCAGGTGCAGGAATTTGGAATCAATGTAGCCCCCAGATTCACTAATACAGACTCACCTGATTTCAGTGTATGCTTCAACATAGTGGCCTGGATCAGATGATATCTATCATCCCTTCCAACCATGAGAGCTATGATCCTATGATTCTAGTCATTGTAAAGCTAACAACTAAAACAAGAATGACATGCAGAACCACAGTGTTTAGAGAAGGCCAGACCAGGAAATTGGAGATGCAGAAGGGAGAAAGAGAAGAGAAATAGGAAAACCAAAGATGTTTTGAAACACATGGAAGGAAAACTATCCAGATGTTTGCTTTGACTGGGAATGGAATCAGTTCAGAAAATCAACTGAAATGCGAAGTACCTTAAAATTGTCTGTGGTTTGACTTGTAAACACTGAGTAAACAGTAATAGAATTCCTTAGAACCAGGGAATTGGGAACCTTGGAGTGCATTTTCAGTGTTGTCATCTCATTTCACTTTTTAGCTTATTAAATTCCAATCTATAAACCATTCAGGTGCTTAATTATCAAATGAATATTTCAAATGTGCCACGCTATTTCCCTCCAGCCTGCTGCCAAATATTCTAATTTGTCTTTTGCCATGATTCCATAACCGAAGGAGAGGAACCAAAGAAGCATTTCTGTCTGCTCTTCCTCCACCAAATGTTCGTGTTTTCAGATGAGGTACACTAAGCCATTCAGACAGATGCAGTCTGCTAGCTAGTAGGGGAAAAGGGAGGACAAGGCCTCTCTCCTCAAGATGCCCCAGGCCCTAAGATGCCACCAACTAATCTGGCCCAGTCATTTTCTAGGTTTCCAGGGAAGAATATGACAAAGTTTTCAGTCTGCAGACAGAATTGACGCTCCACTCTAGGCTGTAGTTGCAGCTAATTAACTGCAGATCCAGGCTAAACTGACGTTAGCCATCATTTCCAGAGCTTAGTAACTGATATATCCATATTGTCAAGCTTTCTAAAACTCATGAAGCTTTCCTCCTGTGGATGGGCCCCTCAGACTCTGTCCAGTGAGACCACAAGACCCATCCTGCCAACAAGGAATGAGTCCTGAATGATTTAACCATTGTCTCATAAACAAACATGTACATCATCCTCAACTGAGTGAGAACAGATGATTTTTTTAAATTAAAAGCTGGTGAGGTTAAGCAATAATTGCAGTCACTGGGTCAGGAAAATTCTGCAAGTTCCCTAGGTTTAGTTCTCCTTTACCCATTGAAGAGATGGCTCTTGGATGCCAGTGCAATTACCACGGCTTTTTGCCTTAGGAGAGGCAAAGAAAAAAATGATGATGAGAAAAAAGCAGGGATCTTGGCAGGGTCCAATCCCCTTTCACCTGTAGAGAACCTAAGACTCAGAGAGTAGAAATAGCTGGCCTAAATCTAGCTTGACAAAGGCAAAACCAGAATCCAAGACTGTCTATTGCTATAGAATAAATTTTCTACAGCTCTCTGGAGATCTTGCCAATAAATTTAGAAGAATCAAAAGCAAAGTTTACCAAGATCACAACCTTCTAATTCCATTTAATGTGTATATTGAATGTTTATATTACATGTTATTCCCATACTTTGTTTTTCACTTTCTCACCCACCACCTTTCTTCAATACACACACACACACACACACACACACACCCCTATCCTGCTAGCCAAGAAAGCATGACATATGCTGACATATGCCTACAACTAGCATGTTCAGGTGGAGGTCAGAATTAAACATGACAAAATTTTAGCTGCTCACATTTATGTAGCTAATCTGGTTTATACTACCAATAACAAGACTCCTAGAAATCCCAGTCTCCAATGCTCCTTTGTAGTTTTGGGGAATGGAAGCTGGTGGAATACAATGACTTTGGTTCTTGCTTTCTTTACTCATTCTGAGAATCAGCACCTTTAATTGCATGTGTGTGTGTGTGCACATGCCTGTGTGTATGTGTGTTTGTGTGCATATGTGCACAAACATACACATTTCTTGAAAGATTAAAACAAAGGAAATAGAAAAGAAAGACAGATGAGTTTTATGTCAGAAATGAGAAGATGAAAAGTTTCCAGAATGGTCATTATCATCTGCCTCTGTCCTTTACTCTTGCTTAGTTTCCACTAATCCTACCACAATTTCTTTTAGGGCCTGGGGAAATAGGCCAATGCAAATATGTCTACTATAGTCCAAGGAGCTCTGGTGGCACAATAGATTAATGTGCAGTGCTTATGGAACAAATGTATCTTCCAGGATAATATGAAGAACTTCCACACTATAGGAAGGACATCACTGAATTAGAAGAGACTCTTCTAAGAGCTATCTGTAAATGCAGAATTTCGGGCCCTTCTCCAGACCTACTGAATCAGAATCTGCTTTTAATGAAGATCTCCAATGATTCATGTTCATAGCAAAATCTGAAAAGCAATGGACTAGAGATTATTCAAAAAAAGCATTTGAAATTCATTTGAAAATAAACAATGACCTACAAGGGATGTAGGGACAATTCATGTGGTTTATCATATAAAAAATAAAAATACAAACTTTTCCTATGTCTGATTTTCTTATTAGCCAGTTTAAAGGCCTAAAGTGTAGGTAAGAGAGACAAATTCAAGAGGAATCAGAACAAAGGATTGTTCTGTTTGCCAGAAAGACCAGGGTTTGGGAACTCACACAGACCTGAGTTCAAACTCTGGCTGGGCTGACAAATTACTAGCTGTGTAAACATGCACAAAGTACTTTGGTACTTTGCGTTTGAGCCTCAGATTCCCCATGAGTAAAATAAGATTAATAATAGTATTCATTAGCATTGAGTTGCTATGAAACATATATGAGACACTATAAGGCACTAGCATATAATGAGCAATCAATAAATAGAAAATATAATTATAATTCATGGTTTGGTCAATAACTTTAGTTTTATAGAAAACTAGCCACTGGATGAGATATTTAAGGACACCTAGCATCTATTTCTAATTGTTATGA